TATCAATAATTACAAAAGCAAAGGGTGGAAAACATATCAAACAAATGGCAACCAAAAAAGAGCAGGAGTGATAATATTAATTTCTGATAAAATAAACTTTAAGGCAAAAACCAATAAAAGAGACAAGGAAGGACGTTATATAATGATTAAAGGGTAAATCAAACAAGAGGATGTAACCATAAATATCTACATACATAATGAAAGAGCTTCAAGATAAATAAATAAAGCTTTAACAAAATTGAAAAGAGAAGTAGACAACTGCACAATAATAGTGTTGTTTTTCTTGTTATGTGCCATTGAGTCAGACCTGACTCATAGCGACCCCTCCTTGGGTTTCCGAGGCCATATCACTGTGGAAGTAGATTGCCCAACCTTCCTTCTGAGGAGTGGCTGGTGGGTAATAGTAGGAGACTTCAATACACTATTTTCTTTCTTTTTTTTCTTTTTTTAATATAATTTTTACTGTGATTTGGGTGAAAGAGCAAATTCATTTTCCATACAATAGTTCATACACATTTTGTTTCATAACATTGAATGCAATTCCCCACAGTGTAACAGCTCTTTCCCCACTTCCTCTCTGTAGTTACCTCTTCCCTGTGTCCTTGTTTCCTATTCATTCCTGCCCTCCACCCCCAAGCTATCTCCCTGTGCAAACAATGCCCTTCTGTTCTCCCACAGTTGATCACTGTATATCTACCTGATGTAAATGTTCACCCTCTATCTGTTTATTGTTCAGCTGGAAGCCACAGAAGTGAGTTCAGTTCCAGACCTGAAGGATAACTAGGGGCCATAACTTTGGAGGTTTCACCGGCTCTGTCAGACCAGTAAACCTGGTCTCTCTCTCTCTCTCTCTCTTTTTTTTTTTAATGATTTTGAGTTTTGTTCCACATTGTTCTCCCACTCTAACCAGGATCTCCTGTACTAATCCCTTTCTGAGTGGTTGGTAGTGGTAGCCAGGCACCATCTAGTTCTTCTGGTCTCGTGGTATTATAGGCTGAGGATAGCATGGTCTACTAGTTCCTTGGATTAATTGTTTCCATGACTCTTTGATTTTCTTCATTCTTCTTTGCTCTGGACAAGGAGAAACCCATTGTTGCATCTAGATGGCTGCTTGCAAGCTTTTAAGACCCTAGCCACTACTCACCAAAGTAGGATGTAGGACAATGTTTTGTGTAGTATATTATGCCAATTGAGCTTAATGTCCCCTGCGACCATGGTCCTGAGCCCACAGGTCCAATTGCTTGCTCCCTCAGGGTGGTTGGCTGTGGGCAAGAAGTTATCATAACTTTGTCCCTTGTTAGGTTATTAAAAATTTGGACATTCTTAGAAATAAAAGGAATAAAAATTGAAACAAAGAAATTGCTTGAATCAAAAAAGAATGAAAACACAGCAAAAGCAGTGCCCAGAGAACAAATTATAGCTATAAATGCACACATCAAAAAAGAAGGAACTAAAATCAACACCTTAACCCAGTATGTGTAAATATTAGAAAAAGAACAGAAAAAAAAAAAAGCCTACAGTTACCAGAAGAAAGTCAATAATAAAGATTCTAGCAGAAATAAATGAAACAGAAAAACCAGAGAAAGAATTAACAAGACCAGAAGTTGACTCTTTGGAAGATTAATTAAATTGAAAAACCACTGGCAAATTTAACAAAGGAAAAGATGATGCAAATAACACAAATAAGAAATGAAGTAGGTGGCATTACAATAGAACGTACTGAAATTAAAAGAAAAAGATAATAACAGAATACTATGAAGAACTATACTCCAACAAATTTGAAAACCTAGAAAAAATGGACAAATTTCTAGAAACACACTGCCTACCCAAACAAACACAATCTGAGGTAGAAATTTTGAGCAGACTCATCACAAAAGAAGAAATTGAACAGGTCATAAAAAACTCCCAACAATAAAAGTCTTGGCCCAGATGGCTTCACTGGCAAATTCTACCAGTCTTTCAAAGAGCTGATACCAATACACTCAAACTATTCCAGAACATAGCAAAGGATAGAATACTCATCCTATGAAGCAAGTATAATCCTGATTCCAAAACCAGGCAAAAACATCATTTAAAAAAAGTTACAGACCAATATCCCTCATGAATACTGACACAAGAAAATCTCAACAAAATACTAGCCAATAGAATCCAGCAACATATCAAAAAAAAATAATACAACATGAACAAGGAGATTCATACTGAGTATGCAAGGATAGTTCTACATAAGAAAAACAATCAGTATGATCCACCACGTAGATGAAACAAAGGAAAAGAACCACATGATCATATCAATTGCTGCAGAAAAGTCATTTGACAAAATCCAACACCTATTCTTGATCAAAACGCTCAGCAAAATAGGAATAGGAGGGAAATTCCTCAGCATAATTGGGAGCTCTGGTAGCACAGTGGCTAAGGCACTTGACTGCTAACCAGAAGGCTGGCAGTTCAAACCCATCAGCCACTCCTCGGAAGGAAGATGGGGCAATCTACTTCCGTAGTAGACCCCGTCCCAAGGAGGGGTCGTTATGAGTAGGGTCCGACTCGACGGCACATAACAACAACACACAAAGCCGACAGCCAGCATTATTCTCAATGGAGAGAGACTGAAAACATACCCCTTGTGAACAGGAACCAGAAAATGATGCCCTTTATCACCATTCGTATTCAACATTGTATTGGAAGTCCTAGCCAGAGCAGTAAGTCAAGAAAAGGAAATAAAATGTATCCATATTGGCAAAGAATAAGTAAAACTATCTCTATTTCCAGATGATGTTCTATACACAGAAAAACCAAGAGACTCAATAAGAAAACTACTAGAACTAATGGAAAGCTTCAGCTAAGTGACAAGATACAGGATCAACATACAAAAATCACTGCACTCCTCTACACAAACAAAGAGAACTCTGGAAGGGAAATCAGAAAAATAATACCATTTACAATAGCCAACCAAAAGATGAGATATTTAGGGATAAATCTAACCAGAGACACAAGAAACATACGAAGAAAACAACGAAACACTACTACAAGAAACTGAAAGATAGTTACATAAATGGAAGAATATATCATGCTCATGGATTGGAAGGCTTATTATAAAAATGACAGTACTATCCAAAGCTGCAATGCAGTCCCAATCCAGATTCCATCATCATTCTTTAAAGAGATGGTAAAACTAATCACCAACTTTATATGGAAAGAGATCCCAGATAAGCAAAGCATTATTAAAGAAGAATGAAGTAGAGGGCCTTAAACTCTCTGATCTCTAAATCTACTACACAGCCACAGTAGTCAAAACAGCCTGGTATCGGTACAGTGACAGACAACGTAGACCAGAGGAACAGAATTGAGAACCCTGAAGTAAATCCATCCACCTACAAACAGCTGATCTTTCACAGAGGACCAAAACCCATTAAATGGGGAAGAGGTAGTCTGTTTACAAATGGTGCTGAAAAACTGCATTTGCAGAAAAATGGAGCAGGATCCTTATACAAAAACTAACTCAAGATGGATCAAAGACCTAAATACAAAACCTAAAACCATAAAGATCATCAAAGGAAAAATAGGGGCAAAATTAGGGGTCCTAATACAAGGCATAAATACAGAACAAATGTAACTAAAACAAACAGCAGAAGACAAATTAGATGTCGGAGACTTCCTAAAAATTAAACATTTATGCTCATAAAAACTCTTTGTCAAAAGGAAGTAGGAGTAGTGCTGTTACATTGTGGGTATTGCAGTGAATGTTACAAAACAAAAGTTGCATGAATTGTTGAATGGAAAACCAATTTAATGTGTAAACTTTCACTCAGATCACAATTTAAAAGAAAAAGAAAAAATAAAAAACCTAATGATACTTATCAAGAGTCTACTGTACAGAAGGTAACATTTTTTATATTCGGTTTTATTAATTTATTTAACGAAGTAGAAATTGACATCACTGCTTTGTTCTTTCTGTTATGAATCCTAGTGTGTTAGCAATTGTATGGTGGGTTAGATTAATGTACGATAATTCAGTATTTGAAATGATGAGGCTTGTCTCTTTCTCTATGAAATTCTAATTTGTAATGAGTGTCTCAGAACACTCAGATTTGAATTATTCTGTTTATGCAAGAAGGCATTTATTAAATAAAGATGATGGTAGTAATTTATAAATCAGTGGTTTGAGTCAGCTTAACTTTTTGGTTTGTAAACTAAAAAGGTTTAGTTACTTTGATGAATCATATTCAGCAACCCTCCAATTTTAAGTCAACTACTAATGGAGGGATGGAGGAAAACCCTACTGTAGTCCAGACATGTTGTTTAAGGAGTTGTTTCTATCTATTTATTTATTTTATTTTTTTTTTATCATATTGAAAAGCGTTAGACTATATATTTTTAGGAAGGAAGACTGGGCAATCTACTTCCATGAAGATTTACTACCTTGGAAACCCAAAGGGGGTTTCTATGAGTCGAAATCGATTCTATGGCAGTGAGTTTGGCTTTTTTTGGTTTTATGTATTTTTAAACTATTCCTTCTTGAGCATACACATAGCCTTTCATGTATCCAAGTATCTAAGCACCTCTGGTTGTGCAAGCTAATGTTGATAATATTTTAGGGCACTGAATTGTGCAACTAAGAAAAATTAAATTTATACTGAAACATAGCCCGTATCAGAGAAAATTAAAGGAATTTCCCAAAATGTTTTTCTTCCCAAATCTATCAAAAAAAAAGCTACCTATCAACTAGATAAACATAAGAAACAAGGTGTGTTCTTTTAGAGAGATTAAGCTTAACACCAGAAATTGTTGTTGTTGTTGTTATTTGCCATCGAGTCGGCCCGACTCATAGCGACCCCTCCTTGGGTTTCCGAGGCAGTATCACTACAGAAGTAGGAATGCCCAACCTTCCTTCTGAGGGGTGGTTGGTGGGTTTGAACCGCCAGCCTTCTGGTTAGCAGTCAAGTGCCTTAGGCACTATGCTACCAGAGAACACCAGAAATTAGTGTATCTTTTTTCCATTTCAGTGTAAAACCTGTTCTGAGCCAAAACAGATTACCAGTTCATCCGCCATCTATGACAACCCCAATCTCATCAAACCAATTCCAGTGAAACCCAGTGAAAGCCAACAACAGCGCATACCTCAGCCCAGCCAGGTACACAGTCCTCTGCTTTTCATATGCAGCTTTTCTATAAGATTGTTATAGAACTTTTTCTAGAATATAGTCAAAGAGGCCCTGGTACTGTTAAGAATTCTTTAAGGTAAATCTGAGGAAGAAAGATTGCAAATTAGAGATTTTATTCATTATTTGTAATTTACTCTTTCAGAAGAGGGTTAAAATTTTTACTTTGGCATTTACCACATTCTGTGCTAAATGTTTGGGCTTGAACTCTGTATTAGTTTCCTATGGATACCATAACAAAATACCCTAAAGTGGGTGGCTTAACAACAGAAATTTATTCTCTCTCAGTTCAGAAGCCCAGAAATCTGAAATTAATGTGTCAGCAAGGTTATTTCCTTCTGGAGACTCTGAGGAAGAATCTGTTTCATGCCCCTCTCCTAGCTTCTGGCAGTTACGGCCAATCCTTGGCATGTCGTGACTTAAAGCTGCATCACACCAATTTCTGTGTCTGTCTTCACATGGCCATCTTCCCTCTGTGTGTCCAGTGTATCCAAATTTCCCTCTTCTTATAAGTCATTGGATTTAGGGCCCACCCTAATCTAGCATGACCTCATCTTCACTTGATTATACCTGCAAAGATCCTATTTCCAAATAAGGTCATAGTCCAGATTCCAGGTAGACATGACTTTTGGGGATACACTATTCAAACTCAGTGCCGACTCCTTAGAGTAATGTGTGTTTTTAAAAAGCCAACTTATAACATTACCCAAAACCAAAAAACCAAACTCCTGCTGTTGAGTCAAATCCAACTCATAATGACTCCTCCTTGGATTTCTGAGGTGGTATCTCTATGGAAGTAGATTGCCCAGTCTTCCTTCTGAGAAGTAGCTGGTGGGTTTGAACTGCCAGCCTTCTGCTTAACAGTCAAATGCCTCAGTCACTGTGCCACCAGAGCTCTTATAACATTACTCATCAGACTCAAATTCTTCCAGTGTAGGTGATTTCCCAAGGCCACTAAGAGAACAAGAAAGACAACAGAATTCAGTTTAACTTTTCTGAGCTAGGCACTGTGTATATAAAATGGGATTCTTGTTTTTTAAAGAGCTTCAAATTCTAAAGAAGTGATATAAGACTTCCCTTTAAGGGTGATGGTGATGAAGATTTGTCATTATATTTTCAATCTAAAAATTAAGTACAAAGCAGATTTTGCATGAGTATATATGTTTTTCAGAATAATGCACCATTAACAAAACTTGCTAATTTGTATGTCCCTTCATTGATTATGAATACAGTGTGACTGTGTCCATTTTTTTTTATGATTACTCCTCATTCAGGATTTTTTTTTTTAGTTTTTTTTTTTTTAGTTTTCTTTTAGCATGGTTTTTTTTTTTTTTTTTTTTTTTTTGCTTTGCATGGAAATTTTAAAATTTTATTTCAATAGAAAAACTAGAATATGTTGACTTTAGGATGGAGCTCATGTTCTCTTAGCCCCAAAATACAGAAAACAGGGGAAAGAGGTAGAGACACTGTGGAGCAGGAAGGAAGGAATTAGCTTCGTAACAGGCAGGGCCAATGCAGATGTTATATATCTGATGATTTCATTAAAACTACTAGTAATGGTTAACAGGATCAAGTTAGATTAAATGATTCATGTTTCTTTCTAGGCCTAAGTTTCTATAATTCTGCAAAAAGCTATCAGGAATTCTAAAATCCTCCTATTCCAATATATTTCCCAGTGTCTTCTTGTATTTTGCTGGGTTGAATGGATCTCCTGTTGAAGAGATTTACCCTTTAGTATGTATATTTTGAAGGAGCTCTGGTAGTGTAGTGCCTCAGGCATTTGACTGCTAACCAGAAGGTTGGTGGTTCAAACCCACCTGCTACTCTGCGGAAGAAAGACAGGGCAATCTACTTCTGTGAAGATTTACCACCTAGGAAACCCAAAGGGGGGTGCTATGAGTCAGAATTGACTCGATATCAGTGGATTTTATTTTTTTAAATGTGTATTTTGTACCACAATTGTTCCCACTCTTTGACTCTCAGACTCCCCAAGGATCATTTGCCTCTTTAATCAATAAACAGACATAAAATATAAAAACTGTCTTAGAGGTGGTAGGGGAATGCTGTGAAATTTTTTGATGTTTAAGAGATTAATTTTTTATCCTTTAACCTTTTCAAAGGTTATTATAGTGAAAATTCTCATCCTTTCTAATTAATCCTTTGTAAGTAGAAGAAATCATCAGACTGAATTATGTTTCATGGCCCCCATGTAGCCAAATTGTATCTAGACCCATTCTAAGATGTTTTTATTTGTTCCAGACCTTAGACCCTGAACCCCAACACTTATCCTTGACAGCGCTCTTTGGGAAGCAGGACAAAGCTCCATGTCAGGAAACTGTGACACCTCCACAGAACTTCTACGAGCAGCAGCAGCAGCAAGAGAAGCTTCCAGTTAGGCAGGGGGTTGTACGGTCCCTGTCCTATGAGGAAACCAAAAGACACTCGCCCCCGTTGGAGAAGCAGCTCTGTCCAGCCATTCAGAAACTCATGGTCAGGAACATGGACCTCCACCCATTGTCAGAGCTGCCTGAAAACCGGCCCTGTGAAAATGGCAGTCCCCATTCTGCTGGGAAAGTTTTTACTGGACTTATCCAGCCAGCATCTCCCCATAACACTGGGACTTCTCATCGTGTCCAAAGTGCTTCCAGAACTCAGAACCTGTTAGAGAAGCTTCAGAGTGCCCCAGGGCGTAGAGTGCTTCAGAGTGCCAGCACACCAGCGCCTGTCAACTCAACTATCCCGAATTTCAGTAGAACTCTCACTGCTGCTACCCCTGCAGCTCCAAGAAAGGGTTTGGTTCAGCCACAACTGTTATATTTCAATGGCTCCCTTCCACCTGAGATGCTAGGACATCAGGCTTCTGCGAAAGAACAGTCCGCATTCCCAAGACCAGCCCTTCCGCTGTCCTGCACTCAAACTAGCAGTTGTGGCGTGGTCTCCCCTCAGGAGCTGCTGAGAAAGCTCCAGATAGTGCAGCAGGAGCAGCAGCTGCACACACCCAGCCGACCAACCCTGGCAGCTAAGTTCCCTGTGGTAGCTCAGAGCTCTAGGACAGTGAAACCTGTGGAATCCTGGATCGACAGGACATCCAGCACAGAAAGGCAGGCTCCTCTTTTTCAGGTAAATAACTACCAGAGCAAACAAACAAAAAAAAAGTACGGTAAAACAGTGAAATAATTTAGAATTGGATGTGTGTTCTAGGGATCACGTACCACATTCACTTCTGTTTGGAACAGGGTGCTTAAGCCACATCTGTGCATCTTACTATCTCCTTAACTTTCTGCCTGGAAAGAGAATCGTTTTACTCAGCAATCTGGTGGCTTCTTCTCTTTTAGAGATAGTTTATTTATAGATCTAAATTTTCACAATGTTACCAGGTCTGAAGACCAGGATAGACTTAAAAGAATCCCTAAGGTTTGGCTGTGGGAGCATATGGTCTGCTTTGAAATCATTCTGGGGTACCAACATCTGACCTCCCCTGGCTTTTTTAATCCACAGTAAATAAATGATTATTTATTCATTGAGGACTTACTATATGTTAGACACTGTGCTACATGTGGGTACATAATGGTGAAGAAAACAGATTCCCTGCCTCTTAAGAACAATCCTATAGGCTATTGTTGTAAACAAATAGCAAAAAAGGTATTATGAACTCCTTAAAGGCACAGCCTATTTTTATTTTTCTCTATGCCATCACTGTAGCAAAATGGAAGGCAGGAGAAGGAGAAGTACGCCCCTCCCCTCCCCAAATTTCAAGAGAGGGAAAAATATTTTAACTTTTAGAAATATTGTTTCCTCAGGGAAGATGGTTTTCTGTGTCTGCCAATAACTTGGAACAGTGCAGTAATCTGTACAACTTCTTGAAGAAAACCCCGAAGTTATTGATCACTGCCTATTGATAATTGGATATTGACTAGATTTTTCTCCTTTGTTGTTGTTATTTGCCGTCAAGTTGGACCTGACTCATAGCGACCCCTCCTTCGGTTTCCGAAGCGGTATCACTATGGAAGTAGATTGCCCAGCCTTCCTTCCGAGGAGTGACTGGTGGGTTTGAACCACTAGCCTTCTGGTTAGCAGTTAAGTGCCTTAGGCACTATGCTACCACAAATTGTATATACCATCACCAGTCCTTTTATCATGTTTTGCCATGAAGCTTATAACTGTTCATCAAAAATGTTTCAGTCTTTTGAAAACAAAGATCATAGGCATATAGCATAAATCCTTGTGTGAGTTCAAGTGTTCTCTTTAATTATTTACTAAAATCCCAAATCTGAGTACCTACTGCTATAAAAACAGTGTTTTAACTCCCCCTTGCCCTCATTTCAATGTAGCATTTCCCTTTTTTATTTCTGCTCTTTTTCCCTTTGGTGATTTAGCACTGGACACTAGGAAGACTGAGATTAGTAGTTTGAATTAGATTTCTACAATTCTTCTTTTCGGTACTCACATGGATGGGGACCCAAGTAAGCAACGTGTACGTCGGGTCAGTGCCCACAGTGCTCTTCTGAAACAGTGAAGGAATCCTTTCCTCCGGGCCTTGTCTGCTCTTACCACCTCTCCTCCAAATAGCAAGTAGGGACAAGTTTTAAACCAAGCAACCTATCTTCTTCTAGGCTACTCCCTGCCCAAAAAGATGACAAGGGAGTGATTATAAATTAGAACAACTTCTAAATTGCTGGCCTTTATTCCTCCTTTTTCATGAGCTCTTTGGGGATTTTGTTGTTGTTGTTGTTATATGCCGTTGAGTTGGCCCCAACTCATAGCGACCCCTCCTTGGGTTTCCGAGGCAGTATCACTACGGAAGTAGGATTGCCCAACCTTCCTTGCGAGGAGTGGCTGGTGGGTTTGAACCATCAGGCTTCTGGTTAGCAGTCAAGTGCCTTAGGCACTATGCTACCAGAGCTCCTTTAGGGATTTTAGGACACTGATAAAAACATTTCTTTTTCTCATCTGAGTTAGAAACAAATGAGAGATAGCTGTGTGAGTCAGCCAGATAAGGATCAGAATACCACTCACCCAACTGATAGAGCTATTAGAACACTTGGTTTTAGGTCTGTTAGCCAAGGGGACTAGCTAACCTTGCTCCCCTAAATTAGACAGACTCACTCAAACACAGACAAGTCACTGAGATGCTAACAGTGACCAGTCCCCCAAGGGCCCTGTCCCTAAAACAGCGGGAGAAACAGAAAATGCATGCTCTCTGCAACCAGGCAGCCTAATAGGAAAGGACCCAGAAGGGGCATATCCAATGAATCAGTCCTCCTTCCTGGGGAGAAGTGAGTGAGGAGGCAGAGAGAGGCTATGAGGATTGCTCTCACAGTGGTTCCTCCCTGGAGGGATCAGGAGTGGGAAATGTGTAGGCCCTTAACAAGTACAACTCTAATGGGTTGCTCGACCTTTACATCAGAGTATTAGACAACTGTCCCGAAGGAACTGTCCCACAGTGGTGATGCATGTGACCAAGTAATGATAGTAAACCTGACAGATATTACTCAGAGGCCAAGCTTTTAAACACTGCAGAAACAATCCACAAACAAATAGTACAGCAGACTGTGTACCAGAGTTCTTAGTAACAACAAAGGAAAATATGTGGAGAATTCAACAGGCATTGGTTGTCTTACAAGCTTTTCCCATGCAGTGGAGCTGAGAATAATTAATACTTATACTCACCTATATTGACTATTGTGAGTGAGGAGCCTCTTTAATCTGTACTTGTCATTTTAATGAGTTCATGCTGTCCTCCATGTCTGTGTTTGCTATAAGCAGGTCATCTCACCTCAGCGCATCCCTGCTACAGTGACTCCTTCTCTGCTCATGTCGCCCATGGTGTTCACGCAGTCCACCTCTGCCCCATCAAAGGAGAGGGACAGTGGGCTCTTGTCTTTGGGAAGCCAAGAACCAACTGCTGCGGCCACCAGCCTCTTCCTGCCTCTGCAGAACCCAGAGCCTTCTGTGATCACCAGCAGCCCACCTACCAAGCTGCAACTTCAGGAAGCACTGCTGTACCTCATTCAGGTAAGAGAGACACATTACCCCTCTTCTTTTTACCTTAACTGCCGACCTATTGGTGTGACTCTGAGATAAAGACTCATTTAGCTAACACTGACTGTGTCCCTGTGAGTAAAAGGACTCTATAACAACTCATCCTAAACTCCAGCAGCTGCTGCGCCTGGTTAGCTAGATGAAATTCAGAATATTAATCGTGGTTTGGGTGTCTCATCTCTTCTCTTTAAAGAGTTTATAATTTGAAGGATTGACTAAGCCTTCCAAGCTGTTCACCTGTCAGAAAAGAAGACAAGATACACTGTATGATTAAGCGATCACTGAGAGGATGCTAGGTGCCACACGGTACCCAAACAGGGAACTCATGGTTGGAAAATAGAAGCAAGAGGAGACTCTTAAGCAAGCAGTAGTCTGTTAGTGGAAAGTTCAGGCACCCTGTTGACAAGTAGGAAACAAGCAGAGAAGCATGGTGGCGGGGACTACTAAAGGTCTATTTTACAAATAGTTTTGAGACTTCCTAGTATTGACAGGATGGAGTGGTAGGACTCCTTTCTCAGGCACTTATGGCAGAACATGAAATACTAGTAACAATAATCACTAACACACACACAAGGTTTTGTGCCAGGCACAGTACATATAATAGCTCATTTAATCCTTATACAACAACTCTATTATTTTTCTTATTTGATAGACAAGGAAATGGAAGCTAAGTGACTGGCCTGAGGTCACACAGCTAATAGAGTAGAGCTGAACTTCAACCCAGTCTGGACCCAGAGCACTCCTTCCCCTGACACTAGACTGAGGGGTATGCCTCTGGGAGACCATTCAGCAGTCCACCTAGCAAACTATACCTAAAAAATACCTGGTAGGCCTCGACAGGTAGGCTGCTTTTAGCCAGACATATTGCAGACATCTCAGTTCAGGTAACTATGTATCTTTCTGAAAGACAGTCTTTAAGGAAATAAGCTTGTTTTAATACTTTGCTCATATATCAGACGACTTTTAGAAAACAGGCTAACCCTTTTTCGTAGTTACCTCATCCTTGAAAACAGTGGTCTTCATTGGTAAAACTAAGGTAACATATTTTAGAATAAGAGGAATAGGATGAGAAGTAACCATCTGAGTGTGAAAACATAGTAGCCGTCTGATATCAGCTAGACAACAAATGATTAAGTCTAATTCATAAACAAATTCATGGTAAGAGATGAGGCAAAGAGAGACATATGTGACTCTATTATCCCAGAATCAATAATATACTCAGCTTCTGGCCCAGCCTGCTATTTTTATTGTTGTTGTTTTAAAATCGCTCAGATCTTAATTACATGTTTAAAGTTGCTTCTCTATCTAAGGAGCCCCCCTCTTTAAGCTATTCATTATAAGTTCAAGAAGAATAAAAAAAGGCTATCTGTAAATTTATTTTCCATAAAATGAAGGAAAAAACTTAAGTTTGAATTTAAAAATCTATATTTTTGTGTCTCATTCCATTCAGATCACTCTATTCCAAAGAAGATCTCTGGGCAGAAGCCAAGACTCTGAAAGCCTAGTCCCTATACGTTGCTAGTTAGAAGTTATGTTTATGTTACCTCAGCCCTCTGCACATTTGACTTTCCCCCATGTTCTAGACAGCCTCTTCCAGATGAACCGTTAGTAGGCATTCTAGCAGTCTGTCTTTACCTGTTGTTCGGACACTATCTCATACACAAGGCCATTGTAGCTACTTTGTAAGCAAAAGAGGAATGACATCTTCCACTGCAGAAGATAGCGCTTACTTTGTGTGGGGGGTGCCAAGAAGGATGAAGGGGAGATGTGAAATGTGGGTGAACTGCTAAAATTGTAAGGGATTGCGGTGGGAGGGAGAAATCTCTAGAACTGCAAACCAGGGAGTACACTGATTGGGCCAGTGATTCTCTCTGCCTCCTTAGCCAGGAAAAGAGCCCAGAGATTACCCGTCTAACTGCTGCCTATGTGGCAGAGCCAAAAATCTTTCCATAACCAGTGGACAGAATTATACTGGCTTTGGTGAGATACCAGTGAAGCATATTGCAAGTAAATTATCTATTTATACAAAAACATAGTATAAATATTGGGGACTACTTGGGGGATCTTAAGAACTACCAGCAATCTCTTAATCAAACTTTGAGAACCACTGACCTGGATAATTTTCTCCAATCCATCCATCTGCTGAGGACCAATGTGTTTTCATGCAATAGACTCAGGCTTTTCATGAGTAAACCGAGTTTTATACTCCACATGACTGGGGTTCCCATCTGTGCTGAATGTAATGAGCAATTGTTACTTCACACACTGACCATGGAACACCAGCAGCTGACTCTGCCCAGCCTTGCCTTCAGCTCAACTTAGCATTCACGTGTGGAATTAAAAATTACCAGCTGTTAGAGCCAATAGGTAGAGATTAGCATCTTAGAATCAAAATGCCAGTTTCTGCCAACCAGTTCACATTTCCTTGGGTCTTTTGATTTTGTTTTGCAGAATGACGACAACTTCTTAAATATAATCTATGAAGCGTATCTCTTCAGCATGACACAAGCAGCCATGAAAAAGACTATGTGAAAGCAAACATTTTTAACTGATTTTCAAGGTCCATCCAGAACTCAGCATAAGGTTCTTCAATGTCAAGTTGTGTTACCTTAAATGTTTCTGTCTTTTTATAAAAAAAAAAAAAAAAGTATAAATATTAAATAAATGTTTCAGACTTTTTGTATAGTCAAGCTTGCTTTTTTTAAAAAAAAAAATAATAATAATAATCCTATCTGTCAGTACGCCTGGAACTAAGAATTGAGTAGGTAGAAAAAGTCTTTTGCTTAGTTAACATAGTAAACGGCAAGCTTCAGTTATTTTTTTCTTACATGTATGGGGCCATTCCTAGAAGAATTACCCTTTCTATGAAGGGCTGTTCTCGGAGTTTAGTTCCTTTTCTTTCATTAGTAGTAGTAGTAGCTCTCCTGAACAAGGAAGGGGAATGTGTTTCTGTGCCCTTCATTACCGTTGCTGAACCTTGTGTGTCACAGTGCATTCAGGCCACCAGGTGGCAGTGTCATTCCACAAATTAACCTACAAAGACCTTTATGAGCCTTTGAAAGTAATGATGATGGTTTTCTTTTACCAAAGTAAACCTTTCATTTGTAAAACTCCAGTTGGCATGTTTTACCCATGCCTTTGAAGGGAAATTATTTCTAAGGTATTTATAACTAGTTTCTAGCGGATGGTTGTTCTAGGAGCCCACAAATGGCCCAGATCTCCAGCAGCACTTCATTTATCCCAGCCCATGTTATTTCTTTTGGACCTGAGCAGCTGGATATGCCTGGCTATGCTTCCAAATGAGCATGCTATCATTTTTAGCAAAACGTGCTGAGAGGGAGGTCACAGAGGATTGTAAAGCCTTTTCTTAGCCTCTAAGAATAAGAACACTTATTCTTAGAGGTTTCAGGGGCATAATGATGAGTATTCTTCAAGCCATGTAGCAGATTGATTTTTATGTTCACAGAGATGAGAAACTTAATCTTGGAAGGAGTAAGAAGAGCCCTTGCCAAGTTGTTAAAGCCCAAAGAGTATGTATGGGAATTAGTCCTTGCTGAGTATTAGTAATAAATAAAGCTTTGCATTTCCATGGACCTTTTTATTCTTGGATCATAAAAATCTTTAGATTACTGCAGAGCACACAGGTTTTATTCTCATTTTATAGGTCATAAAATGGAGGCATGGAGAAAAAGAGATTTTCTTACTGTTTGTGGTGCCTAGACATGGACTTTAAGCTTTCGACCTTTATTCAGCCGCATCATCTCCCTGACTCCCCCAGGAGTGTATTTGTTTCTTCTGAGGAGGAAAGGTGGGGCAGAAAAGGAATTTGACTTTTACTGAACCCTCTTTTGGTGCCATATCCATACTGAGGGGTCTACTACATCGTCCTCCTGTGAGGAAAGGGTCATTTCTTTTGTTTCTTTGATATTTTCTACAACATGAAACACAATCATAAGCCCATGAGACGTTCTAACAAAATATTTGAAATTAGTAGTTGCCTACGTATAATATTTCATAATATTCGTCCAAGGAGATGAGACAAAGAGAGACATATGTGACTCCATTATCCCAGAATCAATAATATACTCAGCTTCTGGCCCAGCCTGCTATTTTTATTGTTGTTGTTTTAAAATCTCTCAGATCTTAATTATATGTTTAAAGTTGCTTCTCTATCTAAGGAGCAATGAATCCCATTTTTAAGGTTTCTAATGTATTTGCTGTAGCAAATGGCAAATTCCATGAAGTATTTCTTTTGTCCTTCAGCACTGAATAAATAAAACAAAAACAAGTATCCATGGCAGCCCCTTGTATGATAAGATCTCTGTGCATTGTAGATGATGGAGGAAGGAATCGGAGCGAGTCCAGCATGGTCAGATCTACACTGCAGGCTTCACTGGGGCCTTTTTAGGTCAACACCACAGTGATCTGTTTTGAAAAATAATAAATTCTCTATCCTTTACTGAAATGAATCACTTTAAAAGTGGCAGGGCCAATTCATTTAGACCAAAGACTAAGTCACCTTTCTAAAGGGCATTTGGTGATGGAGTGCTTATTATATATAGCAAAGCAGATGAGAGCTTCTTTATATCAAGAGCTTTCTCTAGCAAGTTCAAGAAACAGATTAAAAGGGTTATTTGAGACACTCAAAAGTTAGATTTTATATATAAATTAACTTTTCTTCTTCCCACTCTCACCCCAAATCCTGAGACCACCATGGCTGCTGTTCTCAGGGCTGCTGGCTTCCAGGCAGCCCTTTCAAGCTAACTGAATTTCAAATGGAACATAAGAGATTTGTTCCTAAAGGCAGCATTGTCCAATGCAATGGATTGCAACCAACAGTGATAGAATTAAAAGCTTCCTCATATAGAAGGCAGAGCACATAGCCTTTGGAATTAGATTGATCTTCCTGCAATCTCTAAATGAGTGAACTCTGAGACATTGTTCTTCATTTGTAAAACAAAGATAATACCCACCTCATAGGGTTCTTATGAGGATCAAAAAGGAACAACATAGGTAAAATTATTCCCCCATGCCATGTGTTCAAGAAATGTGAGTTTCCTTCTGCCTCCTCTGCATTGTTGGTTAGATCTCAGTGCTCCGGCCATCAAGACAAGGTGTGCAGCTGCTGGAGAAACTACATCTGCCATCCTCATGACCTGAGTGTCAAGTCTGATATAGGCACTTAGTGTCTGAGGTCACTGCACTACAGCTCTCTTCAATCTTTCATTTCTTTATCAATAAAATGAGAATAGTAATACTTGTGGTGCTGGCGAAGAATGATGAAAGTACCATGGACTGCTAAAAGAACTAACAGATCTGTCCTGGAGGAAGTGCAGCCAGATTGCTCCTTGGAAGCAAGAATGGCCAGACTTCGTCTCACCTATTTTGGTCATGTTGTAAGAAGGGAGCATTCCCTGGAAAAGGATGTCATGCTTGG